AGCAGGAAGTGTTTGCAGGGCCCTGGTCTAATTCTGCAGCAGCTGAAACACCCCAGGCCTGGTAATGGATTGGAGTGGGGGCACCCTTCAGCTAACCTCTTCCAACCACCCCTTCCTTGAAGAAAACCAGGAAAGCAGGCTGTCCTGCCCACGGTTTCCGGATTTACTCGAAGGAAGTCTTCCAGGTTTATGGCTCCTCCCTAGCACGATTCTATTCCCTGCTCTCCACAACTGCCCCTCACCTATCACTGGCTCACCATGGAGCTGGCACTTGGAGAGCCCAGGGAGAGGCAGGGACAGGATTGCTGTCCTCCTCTCCCCTCCCTGCCACACCACCCCTCTCCCAAAAGGGGAACTGAAGGGACCAAACAGCCAGGGAGGAGGGAACAGCAGCCTGGCTCCCGGGCACAGCCTCCCCCGCAGCACCCTCAATCATACTCCGCAGCTGACCATTTGAGGAAACATCCCCAAGAGCCCCCTCCCTCCCATGCCTGCCTGGGGGCCTCCTCCTACCCTAAAAGCACAGCCTCCTGCTCACAGTTGAGGGGAAGGGGCATGAGACCTCCTCTTGGGGGTTTCCCAAGTCTCAGGAAGCCTGCCTTCCCCACCTCCCCCACCTTTGTGCATCTCAAGGCCTTACCCACCTCCTGCCCCCTCTCGGGAGAGGACACCGCCCACAGGGCCTGGCGGAGCCACTGATGGGATGAGTCATCCCTCGGGACTGGGCTCCTGCACCTGAGATCTTCCAGGCCATTTATGGATGGGAAAGAGCATCGCGGGGAAGTGAGAGGAGGCCGCCTGGGACCAGCCCAAATACAGCCTAGACCACCCTCCCTCCATGGCAAGTCCCTGGAGAGGCAAAGCCCTCCCTCCAAACCCACCCCACACTTACTCTTCATCCTGAAGAGCTGACCTCAACCCCAAAGGCAGCACTGGGGAGGCCCAAGGATTGTTTCCCCCTCACCCCCAGACTCTCTCAGGCCACCATTTGTCACCAGCGCCCACTCCAGGGGCAAAGACAAGAACACATTTCCCATCCGCGTCAACAAGCTTTATTGGAATCAGGCAGGGCAGGATCGGGGAGAAGGGGCTGAAGCAGTGGAGCTGAGGCTGGAGAGGCAGAAGCTGCAGGACTTATGGCAGTGAGGCGACTGCCTCTTGACCTGGGGGCTAGCCAGGAGCAGCCGAGTCCTTAGCGGGTGGTCTGGTGGACCTGCTCGCGGGAGGAGATGACCTTGCCATCCTGGACCTCCTCCACGATGGTGCGCACCTGCCGGGTGGTCACGGCTGTGGGAGAAACGGACACTTGGAGGTGAGCAGGGTTTAGAGACCCTCACTCAACCCCTGGCCCCCTGAGTGGAGCCAGCTCTCTCCCCCAGCTCGCTCCCCATTGTTGAGTCCCTCAACATCACATCATACACACGTCGCTCATGCCTCCCTTCCACCCCACCCCTCGCTGGTGTCCATGTGTGAGTCTCGCCTCCCCAGACAAGTTACTTGGTTCTGCCCCACCGTGTACTGGTCACCATGGCCCCGAGAGAGGGGCCATGTAGACCAGGTGCTAATGAAATGGGGTTGTCTCCATGCTCTGCAGGCTCCAGACCATGGACTATGCTCCCACCTCACCCATCAGACTGGGGTCTCCAAGACAAAAGCCAGGTCCCCTGTACTCCCTTTAGACCAGGAACCCCAGGGCTAGTATCTTATCTCCTCCATCAGACTAGGGTCTGGAGGCCAAGAATCATGGTTCTATTTCCCCTCTGGACAGACTTCCCAGGGACAGGACCTCTTTTGCTCATCTGTAAGGTCTCTCAGTAGCAAAGTCATGAGACCATGTCTCTTGCTCCCCATCAGACCAGCATCTCCAAGGTAAGGACCAATCCCCAGCCCCATCCTCCATCAGACCAGGCAGTATCTCTCCTTTGATCTTTCCTCTGAGCATCAGCCCTGAGCTCTAGTGGGTCCCTGCCCCCAGCCCTGCTGAGGATCAGCCATCATTTCTGGACTCCTTGGGGACGCTTCCCCATCGATGTGCAGGGGGTTGCCTGCCCCCTGTACCCCACCACCCAGCCCACCCAGCCCTCAGCCTCCAAGATCCTTACGTTCTTTTGGCTTGTACTGAGTCAGGCTGCAAGAAAACAGACAGAGATGGAATTAGATGTGGGTCTGAGAGCCCTATCCTCACACCAGAAGCTCCCAGCCCTGGCATTGGGCCCCCACTCACTGGGCGTCCTCGCCCTCCAGCAGGCGGCGGTAGGTGGCGATCTCCTGCTCCAGGCGCGTCTTCACGTCCAGCAGGATCTTGTACTCCTGGTTCTGCTGCTCCATCTCACAGCGCAGCTGTGCCAGCTGCTCCTCAACACTGCCGATCAACCCCTGGATCTGGGACAGCTGCACGCAGTAGCGGTTCTCTGTCTCTGCCAGGCTGCCTTCCAGGGATGCTTTCTGCAGGAGGGCAGGAGGACCTCAGTGTGGGTGGTCAGTGTGGGTGGTCAGTACCCCGTTCTGGGCCCTGGGCGCGCTCCCATGCCCAGCAGTGTTCCTACCATGCTGAGCTGGGACTGCAGCTCAATCTCCAAGGCCTGCACAGTGCGCCGCAGCTCAGAGATCTCGCTCTTGCCACTCTGCACAAGCTCGCTGTTGGTTCAGCTCCTCCGTCTACAGACAGGACACAGGACAGGGCAGGGCAGCGTGAGCCTGGATCCCTTCCCCCAGGCAGACTGCCCCCACGGCCTCCATATGCTCAGCCCAAGGCCCCGTCTCTACACAGACAGGAACCTCAGGTTTTCCTCGCTCCCCATCACACCCCAGGCCATAGCCACCTTCCTGACCTCCCCTGAGTCTCTGGACTGCCTCCCAAACCTGACTGAGGGGAACCGGGCCTTCTCACCAGCTTCCCACTTCCTAAAATCCAAAAATGTGCCCTTTGGAATTTTCAGTTTTACACTTAGTCCCTACAGGTGGGAGGCACAGAACTGGAAACAAGAAACAGCCAGGGCACGCAGCCTGGTCCCTGGCACTGGTCTCTGCCTTCTTGAAGGAGAGCTGGAAGTTCTGGGGTCTCCACCCTCTGCCTTTATTCCCCTCCCCGCAGAGTGCAGCTTTAGCTAAGCACCAGGCCTGTCAATGCAATGGGTGACTCTGACCTCTAGGGTCCATGCAGCTCGCTGACAGGGCACCCCAAAATGCCAGGTGGTAGGCTTACTGTCAGTGCTCAGGTCCCTGCACCCTGGTCCCTAAGAAAGGCTTCTGGCCTGCTGCAGCCCTCACCTTGCTGAAGAACCAGTCCTCGGCGTCCTTGCGGTTCTTCTCTGCCATCTTCTCATACTGGTCACGCATCTCAGACAGGATGCGGCTCAGATCCACGCCGGGGGCCGCATCCATCTCCACGTTGATCTCGCCACCCACCTGACCCCGCAGAGCATTCATCTCCTGTGGGGGAGAGAGGGGTGGGTGTGGCCTATGGCCCTTGCTGGCCTTTCACCCCCAAGCCTTCCCCACAAGGGGTCCCCCACCCTCCCCAAGGACCCTTCCTTAGTTCTACCTGTCCTCTGCCCTCTAATCCTCCTAATGACTCTTGTTCACCTGTCCAGTGTGGGTCCTGCCTCCACCATCATACTGCCTCTTCCCCAGTATCCTCCCAAATATAAAATCGAGTTCTTAGGCCTCTAATTTCAAACTTCGTGGTGGTGTCGATGTGAGGGTTTAAACTGAAACAAGAGTTAGACCTCCTCATGTGTCCCCTATCTTCAGTGAGGCCAGGACAGGTAGGGGAGGCCTCTGTGGCCCTGGAGGGTCCTTGGGTGCAAGGAAGCAGTTGGTACATGAAGGAGGCTGCCCTGCATGCTGGCTATGACCCCAGGGGTCAGGGAGCTGTAGGAAGGGCAGCCCTGAGAGCTGACTAATTCATTTCTCCCTCTGCTCTCTCCCACGACCTTAGCCACGGCCCCGCCCCAGGGCCCCACCACCCACTCGTCAGCCTCTCTGACCTGCTGCCCCAGCCACCTCACCTCCTCGTGGTTCTTCTTCATGTAGGCCAGCTCTTCCTTGAGGTTCTCGATCTGCATCTCCAGGTCGGCCCTGGCCAGGGTCAGCTCGTCCAGCACCCTGCGCAGGCCGTTGATGTCGGCCTCCACGCTCATGCGCAGGGCCTGCTCCGTCTCAAACCTGCAACGGGAGCAAGAGACTTCAGTCCAGGTGCCTGGGACTCACACATCCAGATCCTGGCCCCTCACCTGCCTTCAATTTGCCAGGGCTCTGAGGGCTTGTGGGGGGTGGTGAGGAGGTGGGTTGGGTGCAGATTCCAGCCCTGGGGCTCAAGGATCATCACAGGGTAAATCCCTTACCCACCAGCCTCTTTCCTTCTCTGCTTTCTGCCTCCTGCCCTCCTTCCTCTATTCTATCACCTGCCTAAGCCCGGCAATCTTTAGAATTCACATTTGCTATGTCCTGGACTAAGAGGTGGTCTCTAGGCTCCCAGGACTGCCCCACCTCCAGCTTCTGGACCTGGCCACCAGCAGCCAAGAAGTTCTGACATGGGAAGGGGTGCTCCAAGTTCCTCCCAAGCCTGCCAGGTCTCCCAACCATGCTGGCTAGGACTCACTTGGTGCGGAAGTCATCCGCAGCCAGGCGGGCATTGTCAATCTGCAGCAGAATGTTGGCATTGTCCACGGTGGCCGTGAGGATCTGGGGAGATGGAAGAGCAATCGGGTCATGGAGTGGGAGCCACTCAGCCCCGCCCTGGGTGCTGAGATGTCTCTCCCCTGGGGCCAGGATTTGCTTCCTTCTCAGGAAGCCTCTCTTCCTGCTGGCCTCTCCTCTGCCCTATCTGTACTGTTGGCAGAGGGTGAGCAAGAGTCTGACAAGCTGAGACGTGCCTCTCCTGCCCCCAGCACCTGCTTCTACCCGCACTGGAGGTGAGCAGACCCCTGTGTCAGGTTCAGCCTTAAAGGGGAGGCAGCAGCCCACTGGGAGTGCGGGACAGCCACAGAGAGCAGGAGAGTATCCCAAGGGCAGAAGCTGTCTCAGAATTCCAGGAAGGGGGAGATGTGGGCAACCCCTTTGTTTTGCAGTTGGAGCGCTGGTACCCCTACAAGGCTTCCCAGGAGGAGGCTAAAGGAGCCCTCACCAAATAGTAGTTCCAACTCAGAAGTCACAGCCCCTGCTAAGCCCTAATCTGGAATTCCAGCAGGCACCGCCTTCCCCCACCCCGCCAGGGTTTGCTGGCCCCATACATAAGGGGCAGCGGGAGGGAGGAAAAGCCAGAAAAATCCCCAAATAAGGCACCCAAGAGGGCTTCCCCAACCTGAAGTCCAGCCCTGTCTCTTGCCTCCTCCCAGCAGGTGCCCTCAGGAGGGCATCACCCCAAGCCCCTTCCCTCTGACCCCTGCTCCAAAGGAAAGACACACCTCTATACCATATCCTTCTGCCCCAGAGGGCCCAGTCCTCCACACGAGGACTGTCATCTTATCCTACAACCACACGAGCTGGCAAGAAGCTCCATGATGAGGAAACTGAGGCTCTAAGAGGTTCCACAAGGCCTGCTTTTCCATGGCCTAACTTGCTGGCCCCAAAAAAGAGGATGTGAGCTATATGGGGCCCCGGAGTGGGCTCCTAGAATCCAAGCCAGAACCAAGCTGCCCTGGGCTCCCTGAGGCCCCGACGCAGCCCCCAGGCTAGACTCCAGGCCCCTGTCAATGCCAGCGGTTGGAGGAGGAGAAGCCATCCCCACCAGCAGGCCCTACCTTGCTCTTCAGGTCATCAATGGTGTGGTAGTAGGGACTGTAGTCACGGGCGGGCCCTGGGGCCTGTTTCTGATACCAGTCACGGATCTTCACCTCCAGCTCCGTGTTGGCCTCCTCCAGGGCACGCACCTTGTCCAGGTAGGAGGCCAAGCGGTCGTTGAGGTTCTGCATGGTGGCCTTCTCACCTCCAGCCAGCAGCCCATCAACTCCGCCAGAGCTGCTGCCATAGCCACTGCCAGAGCCAAAACTGTAGCAACTGGAGTAACTACTGCCCCCGAGGGCACTGCCCAGGCCACCTACAGACCCCAATCTGCAGGAGCCAGAGCCCAGGCCACCAGATAGCCGGCAGGAGGTGCGGGATGAGCCGCCCCCCAGGCCGGACGAGCCCTTGATGGAGCTGGAGGAGGTGAACTGGCGGATGGTGGTGGTCATGGTGGTGGCGGGCTGGAGGCACAGAGCAGAGGGATGGAGAGGATGAGAGAAGCCCAAGGTGCGTATTGCTGCTGGGGCTCGCCCGCTTCCTTTATAGGCCGGCAAGTGGGCGGAACAATTACAACAGGCTCGCTCCTCTGTTTCCATTCCCCTGGGCTTTCATCACCACTGGCCGCCTGCCAGCTCCCAGGTGGCTGCGGGCCCCCTTCCCTCCCATCATCGGGGCTTTGCCTCATTTCTCCAAACTCCGTGCTGAGTGTCTGCGTGTGCGTGTCTCTGGTCTCAAGCTCATCACCTGTGATTCAGGCAGGCCCTCAAGCCATGCTTTCCCATGACCTAATACGGAGAAGAGAAGGCAGGATGTCACCGTCACCAGGCCCTCCCGGGCAGCTGCCATCCCAGCATCCCAGCCTGGTCTGTCTGGTGGAGAAATGGACTGGGGAGTCGGGTGGCCCCCCTGAGGTTGCTTTCTTTCACCATCCCACACCATTCACAGTGCTGGCCCAGGGCTGGGTGCTGGGAGACAGAAAGGACCAGAATCTATTCTGCCTTGAGAACTGGCCCTAAAGCTGTCAGGCCAGCATACAACACAGGATCTCCACCAAGCCTGGCTCACCAACCATGTCACAGATCAGGAACGGTGCTCAGAGAGGGGTGCCATGTCCACACTGCCCACCTAAGTGCAGAACTGGGCGGCAGGGCTATGTCCTTCCTTGTCATCACACCACAGGCCCCATTCCCTCTCCCAGGGGCCCTGGGCACACCGGTCCCCCCCCCCATCTGCAGAACCCTGACACCCAGGACACACTCCAGGGACTCAGATTCCAGCTGGTTAGTTTTGACCCTGTCCCTAACCCTGGGACCCTTGGTCCCAGCATCCTCTCCTAAACCTTTTCCCCTCCCTCTTACAGGAGGGAATAGTGTGTCCTGGGCTGGAATGGGCAAGAAAGAGCTTCACGTAGATGGGGAAATGGCAGATGGTGGGGGGAGTGTCCTGATAAGAGGGGCTCTGGATAAACTGTGAGGGACATGGTCCCTTCCACCACTCCTACCCTGTCTGTGCCCCAAAAGACCTCAGAGAAAAGCAAAGGGCGTGTGTCTCAGATCCCTGCCAGCTGGAACCCTAAAGGGGACATTGTCCAAGAAAAGGCTCTTACTGAGACCAGCCAGCCCCCTCCCTGCCAGGGCTCCAGAGTACAGCTCCTCCAGGCTGACCATGTGCCCCACCCCACGTCCCCAGCCTGCCCTGTCCCAGGGTCTCGGCAGGCCCTCAGGGTGGAATGTGGTCGCGTTTCAGTCTCCCAATGGCTTCCACCTCCCAGACAGGCCCAGACAGCCCTCACCAGCAGCCAGCAGATTCCCCAATTGCCTGGCAGCTGCCCAGCCACCAAAGCAAACAGGACGCCCCCCACGCTCACACGCATAGCAGCACCCCGCCCCACACACACCCCCGGCTGGGCAGAGCCGGTCTGGTTTCCTGGGCTGACTGTGCAGCTCCCACCCCCTTTCATACAATGCCCCAACGTCTCCTTGTGAAAGCCCCCTCCCAGCTCTTCTCCTCTGCTCTCAAACCCACCCAGGGCTGAGGCACTGTGCTCAGAAATTCTACTGGGGCCTCCCGGGGATCAGCAACAGGTAACAGGGACCCAAGGCTGACTCTTAGTAACTCTGCCAGCCTGGCAGGCTGTCTCATCCCTCATCCTCCATCCTTCTGCCTCCTTCTTCTCATTCTCCCAGCAGCCCCAGGCCTGGATGGGGTGGGCAGAACGGGCTACCCGGTGATAAGCCTATTCCCAAACCCTCAATAAACTCTCCTCCCTGCCAACCCCTCAGTCCACACTGCCCCAAAGCAATGACAGACCAGATCACACAAGGCATTGAACTTCAGGTCAGGCTTTAATAGCAGCCACTGGGGCAAATCCAGGGGGCCCCCACAGTGGCGAAGAGCTGCAGGAAGCAGATACAGAAAGACAACAGCTCACGATGGGGGGTGGGGGTCCAGGCGGGCACTCGGGGCATGACAGGAACAAGCCGGGAGCTGGAGGCGATGGCTGCCCCTTGGCCCTCAACACTGGGCTGTCACATGCGGAAAGGAGTCTCAGTGGGTGGAGCGGTGGACCTGCTCGCGGGAGGAGACCACCTTGCCATCCTGGACTTCTTCCACAATGGTGCGTACCTGGCGGCTGGTCACCATGGCTGCAAGTGGTGAAGGAGGAGGACTCAGAGAACTGCAGGCCAATCTCCTACCCCATCTGCCACCCCACCTGTGGCTCTCCCAATCTCCCTCACAGATGGACAGGGTGGAGCAGGTTCTTACCTTCCCGGGTGGGCTGCGAGGCCAGGGATGAGGAGTACTGAGTGGCCAGGCTGTGGGGAGAGGGGGACCATCAGCCCAGAGATCCCAGCTAGCCCAGACCCTGGGAGCAAGCTGGGAGCGGTTGGGGAGGCCTGGACTCACAAGCTGGCGGGAAATCACAGCTGGCAGGACACAGAAAAGAGCAGCACAGATCCAGGGACAAAAGGGTACAGGCTCAACGTGGCCAGAGAAAGAGAAGGAGAAAGCCCAAGGGAAGGCCAGGTGGCACTTTGCAGCTGCTAACCAGGGATTTACAAGGAGCTGAGCGAGTGGTGTTTCCATATCCTGAAGGCCCAGTAGAGAGACAACAGAAGCAGGAGAAACTATGGCTAGGCTACGGGTGGGCTTCATCACTGCTGGAGACCAAGCAGCCAGAATGTGTGACTAAACATGGAGACTCCTTCAAGCTGGGCCCCCGATCACCTCCCCAAATCCAAACCAGATCGCCACCCACCCTGCTCTTAGCCCGTCCTGGTTTGGCATCACCAACTTCACAGTCATGGGACCCAGAAACCAAGGTCATCTCATTATCCACCCCTTCATGCGTCCACTCAGCATCACTGAGTCCTCATTGCAAGCTACGCTCGCCCCCACATTCAGGCGTCCAGTCCTGCTGTTTTTAGCTATACCTTCCCTCCCAGCTGCCTGCCCTCCCCCTGCCGCACAGCAGGACGTCTCAGCCCGTCTCCTGCTGCAGCCTCCTGAGAGGTCTCTCCAGCCCCACCCTGACCCCTCAGACCGACTTCTCTTTCTGCAGCCAGAGTGAATATTCTGAAATATCTAATGAGCCTACCCCTCCTCTGCTCTAAACACCCCCATGGCTCCCTATGGCCTATATGATCTAGTCCATCTGGATGCTTTAATTTGGCATTCAAGGCTCCTTGAGGCCACACCCCGGCTTGGTTATCAGTTCTACCTCCTGCAAAGCTCCACAGGTTCCTACATTCACACCTCCTGGCCTTTGCTGGAGAAGCAGCCCCCAGCCCACCAGAACAGGTGCCCGGCCCCCACTCACTGGGCATCCTCGCCCTCCAGCAGGCGGCGGTAGGTGGCGATCTCCTGCTCCAGGCGCGTCTTCACGTCCAGCAGCACCTGGTACTCCTGGTTCTGGCGCTCCATGTCGCAGCGCAGTTCACACAGCTGCTGCTCAATGCTGCTGATGAGCCCCTGCAGCTGGGCCAGCTGGGCCCCGTAGCGCGCCTCCGTCTCTGCCAGGCTGCCCTCCAGCGACGCTTTCTGTGGGCCAAGGGGTCGAGACTGAGCTGGGGCCTTCCCCCAAGGAGAGCACCCAGAGAGGGGCCCCACCTGGGTGGGCTTGTGGGTGCTGCCAGCACAACAGTGAGGTGGTAACTGGGGCAGACCGTGAGTGACAGGCTGGGTTGAGGGGGGTCTCTAGTTCTCCGAGTAGGGGTCTACCAGGCTGGGCCTACCCCATAGTGACAGGAACAGGGTAGGGAAGCGACAGGGGCCTACCATGCTGAGCTGGGACTGCAGCTCGATCTCCAGGTTCTGCACGGAGCGGCGGAGCTCCGTGATCTCCGTCCTGCCGCTCTGCAGGGCCTCGGTGTTGGTGGCCACCTCGCGGTTCAAAAAAAGGTTCAGCTCCTCCGTCTGGAAGGCAGAATGGGCCACAGGGGCTTTAGGAGGTTTTCAGAGCTGGGCAGAGACCAGGGACTGCCCCTGAGCCCTCAGCTCTCAGAACTAGCTCTAAGGGAGCCCAGAGGCACCTGTGCACAGAGACCCTCAACAGAATTCGTCTTGCCCTGCCGTCTCCTATGTTTGTTACTCCCACTGACTGCGACCCCTCAGAGACAGAGCTCGACTGAGTTTGTACTGTTTGTGTGCCTGATACAGTCCCTGGGCCACCGGAGCTGCTCAGTACGTGTGTACCAAGGGTATGAGTTACGTATGCAGTGGGCATCCCTGTAAACACCCAGGGTGGGAGAAGCCCTAGGCCAGGGCTGTGGAGGCCTGGATCTCTGCCCCAGGCCACAGGGAAGGGTTGTGTGAGCTTGAGTTCTCTCCGAGTCCTCTCCAAGCCTCACATTTTACATCTAAAACATGAGGGGCTGGTCCAACTAGTTTCCTAAGGTCCCTCCAGCTGGTTCAGCGTGCACATTTTCCAGCCCGCACTAGCGCACAGCACGTGTGCCCACACGTGTGCACACCTGCTCTCCCACGGCCACCCACCTTGCTGAAGAACCAGTCCTCGGCGTCCTTGCGGTTCTTCTCTGCCATCTTCTCGTACTGGTCGCGCATCTCGTTCAGGATGCGGCTCAGGTCCACGCCGGGCGCTGCGTCCATCTCCACACTGACATCCCCGCCCACCTGGCCTCGAAGGGCATTCATTTCCTGGGCAAGAGACAGCAGAAGCTCAGCCAGGGAGAGCATCCCAGGGCCTGGCTCCTCATCCTCGGGGACATGGCCCCTCTACCTGGGGGAGGTGCCGATAGCAGACAGACAGACTCAGGCAGACCACAGCTCCTCACCCTCCAGATGAAAGCAGATCTTACCACGTCTCAACTATATAGGACTATGTCGGCAATGTCCCCAACACATACTGTGAGCCAGAGGGGACGTCACAGGACCCCAGTGTGTGCTGGGGCAGTAGAGAGATGACAGTTCTCCAACTTGGCAGAGGATG